GGGGGTAATGCAAGGGGTTGGCTGAGATGGATGGCCGGGGGATGGGGTGGCTGGCACAGGGCGGATGGGTGTAAGAGGGTATTGCAGGGAGTTGGCTGAGATGGATGGCCGGGGGATGGGGTGGATGGCACCGGGCGGATGGGTGGAAGGGGGTAATGCAAGGGGTTGGCTGAGATGGATGTCCGAGGGGACGGGGTGGCTGGCACAGGACAGATGGGTGGAAGGGGGTAACTCGGGGGCCCGGGGTGCCTGGGACGGACCGACGGCCGGGTGGGTGAGGCGGAGGGGTCGGGGGAACGCGGTGCCCACCTGTCTCGGCGAAGCTGATGATCTCGGACACTTGCTCGTGCAGCGGGGGACCGCCGCTCGCCTGCCCGTCCAGGCTGGGGATCTCCACCCGGCCGTCCTCCCGCACCCTGCCGGCATGCAGCTTGCGCAGCGCCGTGACCATGGCCGCCTTGGGCACGGCGTGGGTGATGTTGGGCCGGTCCCGCAGCTGCAGCCGGCTCAGGATGTGCCGCTTCACCGCCTCCAGGAAATCCCCGTCCACCTTGCCCGGCTCCTCGGGCCGCCGGAAGCCGCAGGACGTGCAGGTGTCCTGGGGGGCGCCCCCCGCGGGTGGTGGCGGCGGCGTCGGGGAACTCCCGGCGCCCACCGCCAACCAGCAAGCCACCAACGCGGCCAGGACCCCGCTCCAAGCCGCCCCGTCCATGGCGGGCAGCGGGCGCTGTCGCGGGGGGCAGAGCTGGGGGCCGTCCCGATCCGCTGCAGGGAGCCCAGCTCAGTCCCGGCCGCCGGCAGCTCCGCTCAGGTCGCTCCCCGGCAGCAGCGCCCGGGGCAGGGGGGCGGGGCAGCCAAGCTGGGGGGAGGGGTAGCAGCGCCACTGGGGGGCGGAGCCAAATTGGGGGGCAGCGGAGCGTAGAGGCGGGGCACTAAGGTCTAAAGTAGGGGCAGCAGGCTGAGGAGAGGGGATGCAGGGCGAGCCCGGTCTGGGCGGAGCAGGCTGGGGACAGGAGGTGCCGGGGGAGCCCGGTTAGGGGTCAGGAGGTGCCGGGGGAGCCCGGTTAGGGGTCAGGAGGTGCCGGGGGAGCCCGGT